TGATTGTTACAACTACCTTGTAAAGTTAGATGGTGCATTTTTCTTTTTTATACTGATTAAGAAAACTGAAGCTCACAATGTTAAGGTACTTGTCTGTGATCAATAAGCAAACAGAAGTACTTGATTTTAGATCTCAGTGTTAATTTAGTGTGCTTTCTAATTTAGTCTGTAGCCCTTCTACTGTAACCAGTAGACTTCCTTGCACATCAAAGCTCTGTAAATATTGTTTCCTAATTGATTTTTAAGTAATAGATTATTAATAATTTTCATCTCAGAAAACTTGAAAATCTGTTATCATTGAAAACCATACTAGTGGGATGTGTGTAAGACTAGAGTTCGTTTCTTCATGTTTTATTTACATTTGAATGCTCATCTCTGTTGGTTAAAACTGTTTCTAAAGCAACTCTTTTCCAGCTGAATTTTTAATTTTTACATTTATCATTAACAGTTCTTTCCTTCCAATGTTTCTGAAGGCAGTGATCATCCCTAAATATCAATACTCTCTCTCTATCTATGAGCTCTTTAAAAAGCAGAGTGGTTTCAATATAAGGCAGTAGCTATTTAAGGACAGAATGGGGTCACTCAGGTGAAATGGGGACTATGAGGCACTGTTACTCCCATGAATACTCCCACTCCTAAATTATCTCATTTACACCAAGGCTTAAACTCCCTAAGGGACAAGTCATATTAAAAAAAAATCTAATAAATGAGAAAGAATAACTTCTGTCTGTTACATGCTGTTATTCATTATCCTCTCATTTAGGTAATCTTACTCAACTAATTACAGTTTTTTAAGGCTAACCTACTAATTTGAATATTTATAATGATAAAATATTGCTTACAAAGATTTTCCTGAATTTTCTTTCTTTCCATTTTTGTAAATGGCTTTACTGGTATATTATTGATATTTATACATAATACATAAAGATTACATTTAATAAGTTTTGATAGATGAAATCACTCATAAAGCCATCATTTTAATAAAGAAAATGAATATATTTCTTTTTGCCTCTTTGTAATCCCACCCTCTTACTTCTATCCTTCCCCTTTCCACTATCACCACCACTAGGGCATGGCTGTTGTGATATCTGTTACTGTTACATTATGTTTCTTAGAATTTTATATAAATGCAATTATGTACTTTTGCATGATGTGATTATTCTGAAATTCCTTAAAGTATATATCAATATTTTATTGCTGAGTATCTTTCCATTTTATGGATTTACAGCACAAGTTCTTTTTTTATCTGTTTCCTTTTTTACAAACATTTGAATTGTTTACTGTTTTGGGGTATTACAAATAAAGCTGCTATACATCTCTGAATTGATATGTACTTTCAGTTTTCTTGACAGGAATATTTGAGAGTGGAATGGTACATTAATGTGTCAG